TTTTTCTATTCTGAAGCCTTGTGTGTCACCATAGGCTTGCATCATTTGGATACACTCATTATCATCTTCTGTTTTAGAACTAAGAATTTTACACCTAAGGGGATGTTCAATTTGCTTGTTCCAGTGAATTCATTTCAGAAGGAAATCTTAGATCCAGACAGGGTAGGGATTTGCCCGAATTTCTGGGAGCCAGAAATGAGTCATGAAATACAGTGGAAAGAAAAGGGACATTGTTTGAGGTCTAGTTACCCCAAAAAAATGGTGATCAAGGACAAATTACCTTCTGAATACTGGCCTCCTCCCTTGTAAGATGGGGAAAAGTACAATGATCTCACAGGCTCTCAAGAGAATAAAACCAGGCGTTTACTTGCCTGTGAATAGCCAGAATGAGATGAATGTTAGCTTCCATGTTATCCTTCTGTCTGGGTTCTTCCCACAGGGGTGCACTTTCCTTTCCACCTCTACTTTTCTGAGTCTCTTGTTCCCTTAAACACTGCTCACAGTTGGTTCTGAGCCTTCTCAATTTCATGCTTAAATTACTACCACTCATTTCCTTTTTCTCATTTGACTTACTTTCTGCGCTGTCCTCTGCTTTGCCGGATGACCTCTAAACATCTCTGTGTGGTTTGTCTTCCTTCTTACTTATGCTCCTGACAGTTAAGTAGCAAGTTGCTCTTACAACATCTATATCTCCTTCTTTTACTCCTTCCATTTTTATATAAAAGATTATGCTTATTAAAAACTGTGTCTGTTACTGATTCATAGTTGATTAGAACTCATTCTGTCACCTATTTATTCTCTACTATACTTGGCAACAACCAGTGCAGTGTTCTCTTGCAATTTTTCCCCAGTGTTCCCTTTTGTAATCAAACATTGACCTTGATTTTCTCTGACACCTTGCTTCAGTCTCCTGTGTCACTTCTAAATGACTGTTAGCTTATACAGACACATAGTAGGTTCTCAGCAAGGTAGGTTGAATGGATCCAAGTGTAAATGTGTCCTTTGACAGAATACTACCACTTGAAATATAAATTTGAAACATAAATATTATCACTAAGATGACAGATTTTTTTTTTACCAAAGCAAACTTAAATTCTAAACACTAATTCTAAATACCATGGACTATTTTTCAACTTTTGGGTTATTTACAGAAAGATACATAAGTATGTTTAATGAACTGTGTGAAAGAATTTATTAATCAATAAGTAGTTATCAAATAACTCCTACATAAGGCCTTTTGCTTGGGGCTATGGGTGATACCAAGTGAATGTTGAACAATCTCATTGACTTCTAGCAATTTACAATCTAGGAAAAAGATAGGACATGCACACACATCAGTGAGCTGGATTTACAGCATGCCTGTAGTCATTGTGAAACAGACCTACAGACAAGGAGAAGGAGGTTCATTCCAGCTGCAGCAAATGCCTGTCCTTTCTTGTGGGGAGCACTTGAGTTGGGCCTGAGAGGAGATACAGATTTTGACAGGTAGTGGTAAGGGGAAATGATTTTCAATAGAAAGAACCATGGGGAAAGTAAGGAGGTAGGAGAGTGTACAGTGTGTTTAAAGAATAGACTAGTTGTACAAAACCAAGATGTTTGAGTAGAGGAAGCTAGTACAAGCCAAGTGAGTGAAGGTCAAGTTATAGAAAGCATTAAATATTAAACTAAGAATTTTGGACTTTATCCTGCAGTTAATAGCTGGCAAATGATAGGATTCAATATTACTTTGTTTGTGCAGTGTCACATTACATTTTATCTGATTGCTTGTTTAACTCCTCTCTAGACAATGAATTCCTCAAGGGCAAGGAGTGTGGCTTATTCACCTCCATTATCTTGTGCCTGGTGCTTAGTAGACACTCCATACAGAACTGTTTTCTACATTGAAGCAACAAATTATCAGACTTACAAATGTGAGTTTAGGATTTAAGACAGACTGATGCTGAGATTGTCAATGAGGAGAGTAGAGAGAGAATATTGCAAAAGAAGTCTGTGTAATGGGCAGACAGGGAGGGAGAGCAGCCATGGATTCTGCATGGAAGTCAGAGGAGAGGGAGAGCTTCTTGTGATGGAATACAGACAAAGGAAATGGTGACAGCAGATCCAGGAAATTATCTTTTCTTTGTTTGGGGCAGTATTGGGGTTTGAACTCAGTGCTTCACACTTTTGAAGAAGGCACTCTTATTGCTTGAGCCATGCCTTTTTGCTCTGCTTATTTTAGAGATAGTGTCTCAGTTTTTACACAGGATGGCCTGGCTAACCATCCTCCTGTTTAAGCTTCCCACTGTCCCTGAAATGACAAGTGTGGCCACCATGTCCAGCTTTTTTAAGTGAAGATGGGGGTCTCCCAAATTTTTTTTTTTTTTGCCTCAGGTTGGCCTAGAACTGTGATCCTTTGGATCTCAGCCTACCAAACAGCTTGGGATGACAGGCATATGCCACCCATGCCCAGCTATTGGTTGAGATGGGATCTTGCAAACTCTCTGCTTGGGCTGACCTTGAACCATGATCCTCCCTATGTCAGCCTCCCAAGTAGCTAGGATTATGTGAGCAACTGGTGTTTGACACCAGGAAATTATCTTTAAACTCAAAGTTGCAAAAGTAAGTTTGAAATAGTAGAATGGGCACCCATTCCTGACATAATTAATGATAACAGATCAGTTTTTACCTGAATCTTACAGAAATCAGTATTTTATTTTATAAAAGTTCAAAACAAAGAGACAATAACTTGAACACATAGTTATTTAGCACCTTGAACAAAATAAGAAAGTTCTAATTCCTTATATTATTGAATGCTAATTCTTATTTGAATTCTTAATTCTTATGCTGTGATACAACTTTATCATGAAATGTATTGACAAATCTTTTTAAAGCTACTTGATTTTTGAGAAATTTTCTTTGTGTTACAGGTGGAATTCTTAATAGATTCTCCAAAGATATAGCAATTTTGGATGATCTTCTGCCTCTTACCATATTTGACTTCATCCAGGTTTGTAAAAAATAACTGTCTTTGCATTTGTTAGGTTGTTTTTTCAATAATTACGAAAAGAATTAAGTGAAGTTTTGCTCATTTTTCATTTGATTAAGAGTTGAAGTCCTTCCTATTGCATAAATTTTGTGAATATCAAAGTATTTAAAATAAGCACAAATATAATAAATCCAGTAGCAAGTCAGAACTGTTTACCTGGCCCAAGCCTGAGGCAATACCACCTTTAGATATGATAACTGTCTGTTTGGAAGTGATTTGGACGGCACTAAAGACCATTTGTTAGCAAATCACTACCCACAAGCTATGACATTTGGGGCATCACTATGTGATTGAAGTTTCCCTGCTTCCCAAAGGCCCCACCTCACCTATGAACACTTTGGCACAAATTAGCCACCCAGTTTCCACACAATAAGGACCACAGAGAAGAAACAGAAGTTAAGTAAATTGTTGAGCAGGTGAGAGGATAAAGGATTCAAGCTATGTGAGGCCATCCCTGAGTGACTGCTGTGGATAAGCCTGAATGGCAGCCAGGCTGTGAGGCTTTCTCTAGGGAGAGTAAAGAAGGAAAGTGGAGATGAAAGTGACCTTGGGGACACTGCATTAGGACTTCAAAGTGACAGGACTTTGGAGATTTGTACGTTGATACTCTTGACTATTGGACTAGGCTTGAGCACAGCTTTCTGAGTTTCCTGCCTGGTTTAGCTGAAGCTCCAGGAAGTAAATGCCACAGTCCCAAGGATCTGTTTGGAGAAACATTTGGAAAAAACACTGCCCATCTTGGGACAAGTCATTCTCACATCTTGCCCCTTCCATATACCTCCAAAATGATGCTATATTGAGAGAACTTATTAAAAAATTAAAAAGCACTGGTATGTACGTGTGTATACACAAACAACACTGGCAGATGCAGAAAAACCAGCCTTGAATTTGCCTCATCTGAAATGATTGACAATCAAATACATTTAGTGTTCCAAGTGACCTTTAGCATTTTGGATTTCCTTTAATTGCTGTGTTTAGATATGTAACTCAGCAACATCTGCTGGAATTTTTTAATTCATATTTTGTGTTCAGGTATTCAACGTGTTTCTTGAAACTCTAGACACTTGTTGCTTGTTCTAGGAGTGTAAATGACTGGTTCCAAATATAAATTATTAAATCAGGTAAAAACTGGGATGTGGACATCTTCATCTGATTGCAAAAAAATCTTGCTAATGGTGCCCTTGTTAATTATTTTTCTACTTTTGTGGTGTAACTGAGTATCTCCCAAATTAGTTGAAGCTCATCTCAAACATCCTCTGGGAAAGTTAATTTTTAGATATTTATTTTATAATTTAATGTTTTGACATATGTGATGACTCTCAGATCCTTTCTATCATGCCAATTTGAATAGTTCCTGCACAAATGCTGTTGAGGTTCATTTGTTGTTGCTTCAGAAGTGGTTAGGCAGAACTCTTATCTCAATTTACCCATTTTATTTATAATAGAAGAGGTCCTCACATTAAGGAAGCATAATATATGATCCAAGTACAGTAAAAATCTGATCGACTTTGATTTTGTTAAATAAATCCTCACAGCGTTTCTTTAAATTTATTTAGTTATGTTCAGACAACACAAATTTCGTTTTATTCACATTTCAGGTAAGAGTCTATTGCACAAAATAAGGCATAACCATAAATTTCTCTTTTTAAAAGAAGCTTAATCTCTCATTCTGTTTCTGACTTTTGATGATTTTCTGACAAGTCTGCTTTCTGTATAATAAAAATGGAAGATCTGCGTTCTATTCTGCAGATACTAGTGCTTTACCACCTGCAAAAGGGGGGACATAATCCTGTTGCAAACCCTTTCAGTTACAAAGTTAAATGGTTCAGGCTGGCGTGCTGGATTTGAGAGGTACATGACAAATTTGGTTTTAAAGGCACACAGAGGAAAAACTTTACCCTACTTGTCTCTATATCTGAGGGAGTGATATTTTCCATGAAACAGAAGCATGTGTATTTTAAAACACTAAAACTTGGGCTGGAGATGTGATTCAAGCAGTAGAAGCCTGCTTTGCAAGTGTGAAGCCCTTACTTCAAAGCCCAGTTCCACCAAAACACAAAACAAGAAAACCCACCCAAATACTAAAACTTTCTATTCTCTGCTTCACAAATTTAAGGGCTTCTTTCATATCTCAGTGTGTGGTTACTCAGTAAGACCTGCTCTGTGATCTATGCAATGCGACTTTTTCAGCTTCCCGAGCATCTCTATCCATCATATTAATTCCCCCTAATCTCTTGCTTAGACATTTTTAAGGAATCCCTATCATTTGTGAATTAAATGCCATATCTGGTGTTCATTGCATGGTTTTAAATAAGCCTTTAATTTTTTTAAAAAACCAATTACAAAGTGACCCTTCATTGTTACCTGCCCCTGGTTCACAGGCAGCTCTGTGAGGCCTTCTGTGTCAGGAATGCATCTGAGCTGCTTTGGTGGGTAAAGTGTGCTGCCACTCTACAGGAGCATGGTTGTGTGGCACCCTTTGGAGTCTTTTCATATTCTGACACCCCCCCCACAGGGATGTTTAGGATTTGGGTAAAGATGAATGAGAATTAAAAATGACTCTGTGTGTGTGTGTGTGTGTGTGTGTGTGTGTGTGTGCAAGTGTGCGCTTATGTTGCTAGGGATGGAAGCCAGGGCCTTGCACACACTTTGGCAAGTGCTCAACCTCTGAGCTATTGAGCTATATCCCCAGCAGGAATTAGACATGTGTGCTTATATTTCATCTTGTCCTGAAGTCCTTCCATTTTTATTTATTTATTTATTAACCTCTACTCACTAATATACCTGGCCTGAAATTACTTCTTTCTAATCTATTATGAGGTGGGAATGGGGTTTGAATTTAGGGCTTTGTGCTTGCAAGCTGAAGTTGTTCTACAGCTTGAGCCACACCTCCTGTCCCTTCTACTATGCATTAAAAGCTTGGATAGAATTTAAGATCCATTTGTATAATTACAGTATTTTAAGTAAATTAAACCAGTAGCATTAATTTTGTACTGTGCATTAATTTAGTCTCTGACCTTTGTCTCTATGATGGCCTCTATTGGAGAAAAAGGAGTTATTTTTCTCATGGCTGAAATTTATTTTCACTCACCTTTTGGTTTTAGCTATGCTCTGAGTGATTGCAGTTGCTGGAAAACTGACTGCCCTGTGAATGTGGCATCTTTTCCAAATGTATGCCCCTTCTCTATCCTTCTCTAACCAGTGTGATATCTTGGTCAGGTGACTAACCAGTCCCACCTGTGTTAATCAACTTCCCATTACTGTAACAAATACCTGAGATAAGTCAACTTATAAAGAGAGAAAGTTTATTTTGGCTCATAGTGTTAGTGGTTCCAGTCCATGATTGTTTGGCCCTGTTGCTTTTAGTCCTTATGACGCACTTCATGGTGAGAGTGAGTGGTGGAGCAAAATCTCTTACTTCATGGCCAGGAACTGAAAAGAGAGGAAGAGGAAGAGGCTGAGGTCCCATGATCTCCTTCAATGTTATGCTTCTGATGACCCAAAGATCTCCCACGAAGTGCTACCTTTAAATGTTCCATCACCTTTCATAGCACCAAGCTGGAGAATAGGCTTTTAATGTATGGGTGTTTAAAATCCAAACTATATTTGGATTCTATTCTAGCCTAATAGTTAGTTTCATTCCTAAGAATCTCCACCATATCAACAATCCTTACAAAGGAATGATGCTTTTAATAGAAAATAAGTTAAAGATTAGAATGTTTTTCATACCCAGAGAATCATTTTCCTACCCAGCATTCAATTAAAGCATAATCAATTGGCATTATATGGTAAAATAGCATAAGTCAAAATTAACTTAGTGCATTTTACAACAAACAAGTTCCTGATCCTAATGAAGTAACAGAATGTTTCTAACATTACCAATGCAACAGCAATCACATTTTAAGCATTCTGATATTTAATGTGATAATCCACTTAAGTTAAATCATATTCCCTCATTAAACATGAGTGGAACTTAATTTTTCTTTATTTTCTCTCTCAGTGCTCTGTTGCTTGAGAAATTATTGGCCCAATTTAAAAACATAAAAAGCAAATACTGTAGTTCGTCATGGAGGCACTTGGGGCTTCTTATTTCATGAGTGGTACTTGTAGGCCAAGAATGGAATATGAAAGTCTCTCTTTAGATTATTGAGTGGTGTACCTAGTCCAATACCTGGTAAAGCAAAGATTGGTCCAATATGCATATATGCAAATATTCAATAAAACCTCATTGTACAACTAATATATGCTAATAACAAAAGATTTGTCCAAATACCTCTTAAATGAGTGAGGGGCTCACATTCCAGAACTAGATGATTGGAGATATAAAAGTGTTTCCCTTTGCAAAGAATGCCTGAGGCATGATCATCTGAGTTTTATGGAATAGCAACTCATTTAAAGATTTATGTAGATCTGAGCTACATTCCATCCCTACCCTATATACCAAAATGGAATGTGCTTCATTACATTAGCTAGAAAATGTGTGAGTCACCCATGGAAAGGAAGGAGAACTGGCTCATTGATTAGCAAATTGATTAACAGATTTGTTTATTCATTTGCTTATTTATTATTTTTGAGATAGGATCTCTTTGTGTTGCCCATATTGGCCTTGAACTTATGCCTTAGCTTCAGAGAGGTAGCTGGGAGTATAGGCATGTACCAGCAATTAGATTTGACACTTGTTGCAGATGAATACTTTCTTTATTCTTTGTTGAAATGGGTTATTGTAGAGTAAATGTGAGTACACTTACTATATTTTTAAAATATATATTTGGTGTCATGTAGAAATGTAGAATTTGAGTCTTTAACTTGATCTTAAACTGGTAAATTTGTGGCTATGGTTGCCAATAGGTTCTATTTTTCTAGTGGATAATATGAAGAGATGTCTATAATGGGTGGGCTTAACCAAAATGCAACATTCATTTGAGCAATATATAATACAGAAAAAACTAATTTCAAATTAAATTAGCCATCTTCCCAAATCATTTTTGAGCTACTAGAGAATCTCTAATTATCTCAAAGAATGGGAACAAGAGTTAGTGAGGGGAGTAAAATTTATTAAATATAATTTTTTCAATATTAAACCTGTGGAAACTACACTTAGAGAAGTTAGATAGCTTGCCTAAGTGACTACACCTGCATTTAAACCAGATATTTGAGTCAAAAAGCTCCAAGATGTATGCTTAATTTTTAAAATTTGTCTCAACAAAATAAATCCTAAAATGTACATTCATGCATACTGAAATTTTTTCAAAATAGTTTTTAAAAGGCAAGGCAAAAATATAATATTCGTTTAAAATTTATTTATCATACAATCCTTTTAAAGTATCTGGAAATGAGAATATCCTGAGATCAGAGAGCACCATGTTTTCAAAAAGTCAAAAATTTAACTATCAGCAACTTAAACAATTGTTTGAATTTTCATAAGATCTAGAAAAAAACCCTCCTTTGAGATGACTGCCTTTCCAGCAGGAACACAGCTGCCCCTTAGTAAGAATGGAGTGGAGTGGGAAGAACTTAAGTAGAAGTAAGTCCCTGATGTGCCTTGTCCACTTTATGACATGAAAATGTTCACTATCCGACATGTTTTCTTTGATCCTACAGTTGTTATTAATTGTGATCGGAGCTGTAGCAGTTGTCTCAGTTTTACAACCCTACATCTTCCTGGCAACTGTGCCAGTGATAGCAGCTTTTGTTATGCTTCGGGCATACTTCCTCCATACTTCACAGCAGCTCAAACAACTAGAATCTGAAGGTATGACATGGAATGTGCTGTGCTCTTTTGGAAACAAGCCACAAGACCTTTGGGGGACTCTCTATAATGTAAATGATTTTTGAAATGTGTATGTATATCAAAGGAAACTAAGTTACAAAGTTCATGTGGATTGTTTTTAATTAGTGACCATGTGACTTTATTTTCGTTTTGAAACAAGTGTATAGAGTCTTACAAAGGTCAGTGTGAGGACCATTGATTCACAATTTACTTACATTAATTAAATTAACAATGATAGTGCTGCTTTACTAAAAGTTTCTCTGGGTTTCCAAATCATACTAGACAGAACTCTTCCCTTTGGCTTCAGATCCTTCTTTATGTTCTGGGGGTAGCTTTTGTTGTGTCCCCAAATTCTACTGAGCACTTTGGGAAGCGTATTTTTCAGTTACGGCCTTTGCGTTGGTGTATTTTCAAGGAGTAAACTTCTAATGAGTTTCTGCTTTGAAGGTTATGAGCTAAATCAAGTCATATGAATTCTTAATTGAAACCCCATACAGCCAAAAACAATAATTAAAAAATGCCCGGTGGTAGCCAGAAATGTGAATAAACAATTAATGATCTTCTAATAAGCATCCATAGTAGCCAAGTAAAAAGGAAGGGTAACTCACTAGAAATTTTAAGAATCCCAGCTATTCAAAGTATTTCACTTAAGTGAAAGACCTCTCTAGCCAGTGACATCTATTGTCTGGTTAAGTTAGTCTTTTTTAGGAACAAACATGGTACTGTGACATTGCATTCTGTGTTTACATGATTTGCATTGTTTTATGTGGGAATATTTCACAGGTAGGAGTCCAATTTTCACTCATCTTGTTACAAGCTTAAAAGGACTATGGACACTTCGTGCTTTTGGACGGCAGTCTTACTTTGAAACTCTGTTCCACAAAGCTCTGAATTTACATACTGCCAACTGGTTCTTGTATCTATCAACACTGCGCTGGTTCCAAATGAGAATAGAAATGGTTTTTGTCATCTTCTTCATTATTGTTACCTTCGTTTCCATTTTAACAACAGGTATTATGAATTCATTAACTTCTTAGCTAAACGTTTAAGTAAAAACTGTGTCAATGAATAAAATGCTACATATTCTTATAGATTAAAATATTTAGATGTCTTTAAACAGATTTTTGGAGTTTATTAATCAGAAATTTGTGGGTTTATCATTGGACAAATGATTTTTTGAATTTCTATTGAACAAATAATTTCTTTGATTTATTTATAAACAATATTATTCCTGCTTTTACATTTAAAAAAACTGGGATTCAGAATGTCAGATAGCAAATCCGTGATTAATAGTAAAAATCTTTTCATGATAAGGTTGGCAAAGGCTCCTGTCTTCAAAAGTAGTAGATTTCTTTATTAATGCACTTTCTAAGTAGTGGGAAAGAACTACCCACATGCATAAGTGCACATTCTTATTTTCCCCTTTTCTGGTAAATTTCGTCCTTTTAACTACTGGTTGGTGAAATTTTTTTATCTAATATGAATATTTCATGAAGAAAAAGTACCACTGAAGGAAAATGACTTAGACAAATTGTTGTATTTTTCCAATATACAGGTTCTGAATTTTAGCATTTTGGGGTGAAAAAATCACAATGTATTTCATAATAAGTCAAATAAAAAATCTGTATAGATAAATGAGTTCCCTTTACTTAACATGTTGAATTTCTGAGCTATAAGAAGTGTTGAAATATGTTTGTGTGCATGTGTGTGTGTGTGTTTGAGTGAGAGAGAAAGAGAGAGAGAAAGAGAGGAAAAGAGAGAGAGAGAGAGAGAGAGAGAGAGAGAATGAGAATGGGCAAAGATTCAGATCAAATGTCAAAGGATTGTTTGATTATAAGAACAAAATCTTGCTCAATCTGAAAGGAGGCATCATTTGGAGAGTAACAGGAAAGCCCCAGGGCAAGTGGCAGCCTTGGGCCCCTGAAGAGAGCAGAACAGGCATTGGAACGTCAGATACATGTGTCCTTCCCATCTCTCAAGTCCAACTACTGGCTTGCTATGGCTGCTTCATTCATTGCTCTCTCTCTCTCTCTCTCTGAAGAATAGTTTTCTTGTTGAACCAAGGCCATGTCCCATGAGCTTGATGTGGCCTCTCCATTCTGGCCCCTTGAGTTATCAGTAGATTTCCTCTGTCCAATTACTAAGTCCTAGAGAGAACAGGAAACAAGCTCCTTCTAGCTCAGGGGTCTACCTGCAGACCACACAACTGTTGTGAGAATAATTGGTTTTCCACATTTATTGTTGTTTCAGCTGGAACAATGGGAAATGAATCTATGAAAAGAACTTAAATGGACAAGCAAATTTTAAAAATCTCCCATTATGTAGTAATTTTTGCAACTTTTTAAAAATAAAGTTTCTTTTCAGAAAAATTCAAAATATTTAAATTTTCATTTAAATTATTTGAAGCATGATTAAAGATGGCTGAATTATATGAATGAAGATTTATTAACAATTAATTTTAACCAATATATCATATGCTGTAACATAATGGTTAAGTAATTGAGTCCTAGTTTTCCATGAGCAATAGTCAAAACATTTAGCAATCAGCATACTACAGACCACACAATCAATAAGTTGCCCAGCTAGAGTGAATGTTGGTCACCAAGCTGTTATCATCCCTGTCCCTGGGTCTTCTGCTATATTAACTTGCATACTTTAATTAATGTCCCTAAATCCCTCCTGTGTAAAGAGACACAGTAATAATACACAGCCCATAGATTTGTGGTAAGTGTTAAATGCAGCACACATTTAGTCTGTTATACTTAGTATAGTGCCTAGGCCATGGCAAATGCCCAATAACTTATATTACTTGTTGTTATTAATTTTTTATCTTATTCTCTTCTTAGCCTTCAGAACAAGTAATATTTTGGAACCCTGGATGAATCTTGAATATTTAAAATAAATTATTTATTAGTAACAAAGCTGATATGTTCTTCTATGGCATACCTTTTGTTGGGGCTATTGTGGAAATATAAATGTCAATTAATAATAGGATGTATTTCTCCCAACTTTTGAACCTTATGACAATTTTGTCATACATTATAGATGAAAGAATTATCAATTGGGAGTTAAAATCTAATTTTTTACAATCTATTTTGTAAAATTTGTATAACCATAATATGGAATATTTTTGAATTTTTATTAGTGATCCCTTCCATCTCTTTAAAAATATTTGCTCTAATAAACACATAGCATTGTCCTTTCCATGTGAATTAAACTTTTTTCTTTCTTTTTAACAGAATGGACAATCTCCTTCCAAATGGCAGACATATTAGTTTTTCTGACTGTCTGTTAATGCACTAAATTCCCTCTCTTCCAACAGCATCTGATTGGCAGAGAAAGTCATCCTTGCAAACATATAAAGCACATCTAAATATCCTACAGATGCTACTCAAGTGCATCCTTTTTCTGTTTTTGGCTTTCTTGTAGAGGAGATCATCTGGACACAGGATTTTCTTTTCCATTGCCCATGCAAATATTTGAAGGGAGAAACATGGTGGTATCTACCCAATACCAACAATCTTTTTTTTTTTTTTTTTTTTTTGGTACTAGGGTATGAACTTAGGGCCTTACACTCACAAAGTAAGAACTCAACACTTGAGCAGTGCTTCCCTGTCCTTTTTGGTGTTTTGTGCCCAGATTGGCCTCAGACTATAAGCCTCCCGTATAGCTTGGATGTAGGTGCAAGGCATCACACATGGCCTTCAGTTACTCTAAGACACTGGTTGAATGTTTACTGTATAAGGATATTATTCCTCCTGATAAATGTTGTGGTAAATGTAGATGAAACAAGGTCAAAGTCAGCATAAAACTGATTGTGAATTTAATGTGATGTGCTGCATAAGAGGTATGCATCAAGTCATTCACAGAAGAGAGGAATAACACAAGATTTGTTCATGTTTTTTCACGTAGGTGAAGGAGAAGGATCAGTTGGTATTATTCTAACTTTAGCCATGAATATCATGAATACATTGCAGTGGGCTGTAAACTCCAGTATTGATGTGGATAGCTTGGTAAGTCATTATTTTTTGTTTTATGAAAAAATTCCGACAATTCAAAAAGTATAGGTAATAATGTAAGGACTCAGTATATGCCCCAAATCATCTTATGTCTTAAAATATTGTAGATAACTTGAAGGCCACTCTACCTCTCATTAAGGCACATCTCATCTTTCTTCCACGTAGATCACCACTATGAACTTCTGTTTCCCTTAATTTTGCTTGTTCATGTGGATTGCTCAGTTTTTAACTAGACTGGTTTGGGGTTTTTCTTAATTGATTTGTAGGAGTTTATGTATCTTGAATCCATTGCCAATTTTATATATTTAAAATACAGCCTTTTAGTCAGTAGCTTTGCTTATTATGTCTTTTAATGAAAATAAATTTTTAAGTGTAGTGATGATCAGTTTATTAACCCTTTCCTTTTATGGCTTATCCTTTTGGTATTTTAATTAAGAAATCCTTCCCTCTTTTGGGATCTTAAAGTCAGCATCATAACACTTTTCAAATATTCTTTTCTTGTTTTTAAATTTTCCATAGTTTTAGTGACAGCTCTCCTCCTCCAGTGTTTACATTGCCTTTTCCCTCTTCTTGTTTATCAATGTTGTCATACACTTGTAGACTTTATAAGTGTGTACAAAGACCGTATTTTGGTTGTATTGCTTCTCTTGTCTTGGATCCCTAGAATATAGTGCCTTCAGGGATGTTTATGTGCTGACACTGAATGAAGAATACAAATCCCATGGTGGCAAGAATTAGGGATGTAAGGAATCTACACAGAATTTTCCACTGTTGCTTAAAAAGAAAAATCAAAGTGTGTCAAGTGCCCTTTGCTCATGCTGTAATCCTAGTTACTTGGGAGGCTGAGATCAAGAGGACAGCAGTTCAAAGTCAGTCTGGGCAAAAAAGTTTGTGAGCCTCCATCTCAACCAATAGCTGGGTATGGTGGCCATGCCTATCAACCTAGCTACAGCAGGAAGCATAAAAGAGGAGGATTGTGGTTCAGGTCAGAGTAGGGGAAAAAAGATCCTATCTCCAAAATAACTAGAGCAAAAGGATGGGAGGAGTATAGAGCTCCTGCCCAGCAAGTACAGAGCCCTGAGTGCAAATCTCAGTACTACCCCTACAAAAAAAATTAAGGCACAATTTCAGTCAGACTGTATAGGTGGCCTGAGTACTTTATCATTGACTTCATTTAGGATTTTTGGATTAACTGTATTGAAAATCATCCATCCATTACATGGTCTCAAACTAGTACATTCATTCAACTATAAAATTTGTAATCAGAAGAAATAGTGATTAAAATTATAGTAATATCTCCAGGAAGGCAAAACCTTTTAATACCCTCTTCTTATCTATGTGTCTTTACATTTTTTTGATAATTTAAATAATTCATTGAAATGTCATTTAATCTTAACATATTTATGGTAGACTTTGCTTCTTTTCCTTTAACTTGTTTTCATTTGACTAGTTCTTTTTAGCATCTCCTTTCTTCCTAGTCTTAGTCCAGTGTACTTTTGGAGTTAGGTCTCATAAACATATGTATAAATATTTCTATTACAATATAGCAAGAGAATTTCAAATAAAAATTGTTCTTGAATTTAATTGTTCAAATTTCTACAACCTTGACTTTACATTTTAAAATCCTTGTGTACCATGATAAAAGCGAGAGCACACAAGGGAGGGGTGAGGATAGGAAAGACACCTAAAAAACTAGCTAGCATTTGTTGCCCTTAATGCAGAGAAACTAAAGCAGATACCTTAAAGCAACTGAGGCCAATAGGAAAAGGGGAACAGGTACTAGAGAAAAGGTTAGATCAAAAAGAATTAACCTAGAAGGTAACACCCATGCACAGGAAATCAATGTGAGTCAATGCTCTGTATAGCTATCCTTATCTCAACCAGCAAAACCCCTTGTTCCTTCCTATTATTGCTTATACTCTCTCTACAACAAAATTAGAGATAAGGGCAAAATAGTTTCTGCTGGGTATTGGGGGGGAGCGGGAGGGGGTGGAGTGGGTGGTAAGGGAGGGGGTGGGGGCAGGGGGGAGAAATGAACCAAGCCTTGTATGCACATATGAATAATAAAAGAAAAATGAAAAAAATAAATAAATAAAATAAAATCCTTGTGTACATTACCTATCTCTTTATGTAAAAACATCTCTTTACCCTGTACATGTACAATTTCTTTCTCTTTGTCATTTACTTTTCTTGGTTTGTGTAATAGCCTATAATACAGTGATGTCAAAACCTTTGTTCAGTGCATTTCTGCTCTGCAGGGGTGATCTCCACTGTAATTGCTTTAAGGTATTTTTACTTTTGTAGTTTTTCGCATGGGCATCCTGGGCTTTGTGACCTGTGCTTTGACATTGTGTCTTTCATCTTGCCACATAAAAGAACCTTTGCAAGGACCTAATCATGTTATATGAAAAGTATTAATATTTGTATTTGATTTCGTTTTTAAAAAGTAATGTTCTTTTGTTTGACTATCCAAGTAAATATGGGAGTTTTCATTTCCCTGCCAAATACCAGTAGTGGCCTTTCCTGGGTGTTCATGGGTATTTATTTAAGTATTAATTCCCATCATATTATCATATTACTGTTATCTATATAGGCTAAAGCTATATAGTGATATTTTTATTTTCAGTTTGGCATTCGTTGAGAGTAGAAAAAGCGATGCTCTTAGATTTTATGTTTGTGTGAAGCTAACACCAAAGGTCCTATGATTTCCAAAGCAAAATCTCATGTTGTTTTACTTTACTGAACTGTTACCTGCATTTAGAGCAAACTGAATTAAAAAGAGAATAAAGAGGATGGTTTGTTTTATACACCATTTTAGTTTTAAAGTACAGGACCATTCAGAAAAAGATCTTTTTTTTTAAACCAATGTGGCCTAGTTTAAACATGTAGGCAGAGTCAAACATCTACAGGACCATTAATTTATAAAAGTGGGAATGTGGCTTTTCTTTCATTTCCCACCTTTCCTTATCCCCAGATACCTAGTTTTCAACTAGTAAAGACAATATTTGGATGATAACACTTAACTGCTACTTCAACTTACTTTGTATTTATGATCACATATCTCAAATACTAGTGCTGGAAATTGTTCATTAACCTTTTGATTATGTTTTCCTAATAGGTTACTTATTTATTCTCAAAGATATTTCTTTCCTCTCTTCCTGTCTCCTCTTCAGTGATCCAGTAATTCCATTCCTTGCACTTTCTGCTAATGACCTCATGACATACCTCATAGAAATAAATATGTGTGACAGGAGAGAAAGTCTTCACTTCTCCCGGCCAGCTGCATCACTTTATTGAACCTCTCCTCCAGTGCCCTGCCTCTCATTCTGGGTCCTTTCTCAACAGCCCAAAAATACTCTCCCTTGATCTCCAATTGTCATCCTATTTCTTTGACAAACAAAACTTCTTTAGAGAATATCTCTCTCAGTTTCCTTCTCCATTGTTCCCCCCACCTGCTTCATTTGGTTTCCATCACCCACTTGGCTCATGACCAACATTTTGCCAAAAGCTGATGTCCTTGCTTCCCATAGTTGCTGAGCACTATTTGCCATGGACCAATCCTGATGCCTGTCTACCTTATTTTTCTGCTATTCCTTGCTCATCCTTACTCCTTTGTTTGTTTGTTTTGTGGTACTGGAGTTTTAACTTAGGGCCTAACTCTTGCTAGGCAGACACTCTAACACTTGAGCCACTCCATCAGCCCTCCTCCTTACTCCTTTGTTGGCCCTTCCTTTTTTGCAGATTTTTAAAAATCATCCATAATGTAGATTTCTTCTATCTGCATTCTCTAGCTATTGTCACCTAATGTCATGTTTTAGAAACTATCTTTGATTGAAACTATTCCAGGATTGAGGGGAAGGGAGAATAAAGGAGAATGATGGAGGGGGTGAATTCAACCATGATATACTGTAACAACTTTTATAAAAGTCACAATGTACCCCAGTGCAACAATAATATAATAAAAAAGAAATTAAAAACAGAAAGTCTCTTTGGTGGGTCATAGATTCATATCCTTAATGTAGGCTTCTCTGCTGCTCTCTAAACCCAACTACTATCTTGACATATCCATGTTTTCATAAAACACAATACTATAGTGTTTTCCAGTATGACCTCTTGGGCCATGAATTCCTGTACAGTTTCTCCTCAAAATATACTGAGAGTCTTAAGGACCATTAAAATAACATAAAGTTTCCATTCTACTCACCAATTTTTCTGAAATATTAAACAAACAAATAAACAAGAGTTGAAGCTCCTAAAGGTTCTTGCATGGTTGATGCAATCTAAGAAGAGTTTTCTGTCAATAGAAACTCCCTCTGTTTCTTCTTTGTTCTTTCACTGCCTTTGTTTATTTTTGGTTCCAGTAAAGATCAAGTAACTGATTGTACAATCACCAATGTGAAACCTGCTGGAGAAGGGCAATCTGGCCTTTCTTCATGGTTCTTGATGCCTAATGCTTTTGTATTAAAAGCACTTTCTGATAAAAGAATCTGAGAGGAGGATTCATTTGTCCTGTTTTTCTTTTACCTCCTTTAGTAGTCTCTTGATCATGTCTTTGTTTTTTTGTTCTCATACATCAGTGCAGCATATTTTATTCTCATGGATTCTGTCTCAAGACTTCTTTCCACTCAACCATTCTCTTTCCATCTCATAGGGTGGCTGTACTAGGGAGAAATTTGTCTCCCATTCTGGCCTTGCTATTGAAAAGTCATGTGGCTTTAAGCTTATCAAGGACCCCCACCACCATCCAGGGCCTCATTTTTCTCATCTGTTAAATGAAACAATTTTGTTAGGAGATTTCTAAGGTTCCTCTTAGTTCTGACAGTCCCTTTCTGAAATCTTTTTGTATAAAAAAACCTCAACTCTTGCTTAGCATATAAGTAGGCTAAGCACATTCCTGCCCTATGCATGAGTGCCAACTCCATTGAGTAAGTTACCCACCAGAACTGATCAAACAACTCTGACACAATGCGTTACTAAAGCCAATGAAGAAAAAG